TGCCGATAATGTGAATCTACTGGGTGATAATATAAGATTCCATAAAGAGAAAACACAACCTTTAATTGAAGCTAGCAAGGAGGTTGGTCTAGAAGTGAACACAGAGAAAACTAAGTACATGTTGCTGTCTCGTCACCAAAGTGCAGGGCAAAATCAGGACATAAAGTTGGTAACAGATGTTGTGAAAATGTGGCACAGCTCACATATTCGGGAACGACATTAACAAATCAAAATTTGATTCAGGAGGAAATTAAGAGGCGATTGAACTCGTGTAATGCCTGCTACCATTCAGCCCAGAACCTTTTGTCTTCTCGTCTGTTGTCCAAAAACATAAAAATTAAAATATACAAAACTATAATTTTGCCCGTGGTTCTGTATGGGTATGAAACTTGGTCTCTGACATTAAGGGCGGAACATAGACTAAGGATGTTTGAGAACGAGGTGTTGAGGAGAATATTTGGTCCGAAGAGAGCTGAAGTGGCAGGAGGTTGGAGAAAACTGCATAATGAGGAGCTTCATAACTTGTAATTTTCTCCAAGTATAATTAGAATGAGCAAGTCAGGAATATGAGATGGGTAGGGAATGTAGCACGAATGTGGAGAAGAGGATTGCATACAGGATATTTATGGGAAAGCCAGAAGAAAAGAGACCACTAGGAAGACCAAGACGTAGCTGGGTGGACAATATTAAAATTTATCATAGTGAGAAAGAATGGGAATGTATGGATTGGATTGATGTGGCTCAGGATAAGACCAGTAGAGGGCTCATGTGGACACAGTAACGAACCTTGAAGTTCCACAAATGCTGGGAAGTTGTTGAGTAGCTGCACAACTGGCTCAGTTCCATGAGTGAGTGAATGATGTCTTATCTATGTCAATATTTGACGATGGCCCATTCTAAAGGACGTTTCGGACTCACGATATCTGATCTTGTCCCTTTCTTCATTATAAATTGGACTGATTGATGGATACAGGCTGCACTAAGTGCCTAACACAAAAATTTATGAGGGGGAATATTTCTTATGTGCCATTCTATTAATGGGACATATAAACGTAAATCATGGGATTATTTATTTACAAGTGTCTCGTGCACTTCCGACGAAAGCAAATTACATTTGTGCCGGCCGGCGGTAGGGGAAGTGGTGGCAACACTGACTCGAGCAGTAACGTAACATGTTCTACTGGACGTCAGACATATGCAGAACAGAGAGTATACGAAGCCACTAACTAAACACGAGAACAAGCTCCAGGCGTTACGGGTGAACTGAATACGAAACGCATTCTGGGTAACGGAAGTGAGTGTAGTGTCAGCAAAGCCTAACCGAAAGCTTAACCAGTTTACAACAGACTTCATTTTGAAGAAAGCCGTCTTCTGGGATGTGGCGCCGTGTAGACATTGTGTTAACCGACGTTTTTGAGGAACGTATCGCCTCTATCTTCATAGTAGAATAAAAAAGAAAATCCGTAAGCGAAGAACCAACATGAGCAGGTGCTGACAGACCAGTTTCGGAGGAACGTATCGCCTCCATCTTCAGGGTAGAATAAAAAAGAAAATCCGTAAGCGAAGAACCAACATGAGCAGGTGCTGACTAGTCTGTCAGCACCTGCTCACCCTGGTTTCTCGCTCGGGGATTTTCTTTTTTATTCTACCCCGAAAATGTAGACATGTTCCTCCGAAACGTCCGTTAACACAATATCTACATGGCGCCACATCCCAGACGACTGCTTTCTTCATAGTCACCGCCGTGAAAACCTCAAATCTTACAGACTTTATTTTATCCTTGAATTTAGGATCCTCTAAGAACCTTGGCCTCCTTTACGAAAGCTCTCATCTCTATATATAGGAATATTATAGAGGCTGAAAATGCTGAAAATGCCAGCTAAAAGCAAGGCGGTTTGTTTCACGAGATCTCGAGCGGCACACGGTTGTAAATACTTGGGAACAATTTTACGCAGCGATTTAAGTTGGGCTGATCAAGCTAGTTACACGGTGAAGCAAGCCCGGAAAGCGTATTCTTGAAAAGGGAAATGGTAGGCTGCACGTCACTACTGCGGGAACAAACGCCGTTTCGAACTCTGCTCATGCCGCGCCTCCCAATTTCGTTAGATTTGCGGGCGGGTCTTGCTGCCGTCGGTGTTGCACAGAAGTGCCGCACATCTGTTGAGGGGCTTTCCGCCGGCGGCGTAGTGCCGATGTGACGTTGCTCTCACGGGTCGCGTGGTGGTTAATTCAGTCGTGTCTCTTCAAGTGTGACAGGGTCGATATGGCTCCCCTCTATCGATATGCGACGAGCAGTTGAGGATTGAACTGAATCACCAACCAGAACACTGCATCGGCCCGGAAACCATATCTAAAAATTTGTCCATTTCTTTCCTAAGAACAAACCGATCTGTTCTGTCATTCATTCATCTGTAATCTGTCAGACGACAGGTCCACAGTCTCTTCCAAAACAGTTCCTCCACTTAATGCGATCTAGAGCTTTCTCCTTCAAATGAAAATATCCTCTTCTGTCCCCAAGGTCATCCAGCATCTTCTTACGTCTTCTTCCTCGTCTTCTTGTCACTTCTATCCGCCCCTCTATCTTTCCTTCGATAACTTCTTTTAGAAGGCAGTTACCGCGTAAGATATGACCAATCCAATTAGCCTTCCGTTTTCTTATTTCGTGTAGGATATTCCTCTGCTCACTGACTCTAAATAACACTTCTTCATTTCTCACATAATCGGTCCAACTGATCTTCTCCATCCTTCTCCAACACCAGCTGTTCTGTATGCATCTAAATTTCGTTTCGGATATTTACTATCCTTATTGAGAGGCTTTCATAGTTTACCTCAGCCCCTTGAAGCAAAAATCCCGAAAATGACGTGAACTTTTGACTTTCTTCTAAATTCTTAGTTTTCGACGCTAAACTGAACATTAAAATAAACTGTGGAGCAACTAAGGCACTGATACCAAAATGCAGTCCTGTCCTGTAAAACCGACAGTCGCTCAACAACTAAAAATATACCCCGCCTTTGAAGGAATATGAAGATTCATTACCGTGTTCACAAAAGCCCTTCACTGGACACTATCCTGAACAAGATGAATCCAGTCAACATTGTCCTGTAATTCTTCCTCCTACATCTTGAGAGCCGGAGTATGCGGTAGCGTAGTTGGTTGAGGCACTATGTTACAATCCGGAAAATCGCGGGTTCGATCCAGATGAGGTCAGTGGATGTTTCAATTGACCTAATCATTCCATCCGCACTATGGCCCCTAAGCTACAAGATATCCCTGTGACAGACCGTGGAGACCCAGAGGTTTGTGTGAAGTCGAGGCTCCCACATTTTCTAGACAATCGGCTCACAGATGGCGGTGTGGTTGTCAGCCTTACGCGGAGGCAGTCCTTTACCCCCCGGAATATTCCTGGTACTCATTTCTGTTAGAGGCTGAGTCGACCCCAAGGCTTATGGCATAGTGCCCGTTACATATTAAGGAGCATCAGAGAGGAATTACAATGTGGCGAAGCAGGCTGCGTCCTTCCGAATTAGAATAGGGACCAGTTGAGGGACTTTTGAGCAAGATAATGAACGCCTCGACCGCTTCACACCCGGTACCCATTGGATAGGAGGCTGGGTGGGCCCCAGAACCGGTCTGGACGACGTGGAGAAGAGAAAATTCTTGACCCTACCGGGACTCGAACTCCGACCCCTCGGTCGTGCAGCCCGTGGCCAGTCGCTATACACTAAGGAAGATAATAGCAATAAGGTGCCGCATTCAGTAACTCCTTCCCACTGCGGCGGCCCGGGTTCGATCCCAGGTCTGGTCAAGTGGGATTTATGGTGGACAAAGTGGCGCTGGGGCAGGTTTTCTCAAAGTGCTTCGGTTTTCCCTGCCAATCTTCATTCCACCAATTGCTCCACAATCACCCTCACCTACCATCTGGGGCTGGTACAATAGGCCAGAAGCGGCCGCAGTACAAGGGACTTGTCCCACTCCACTAGCAATAAAAGAAGAACTGCTTCACTGTCAGTAAATTCTTAATGCGGTGGATGGGCTTAATGAAGTGACACCAGTTTCCCTGTGTCTGGTCTGAAGTCACTTCAGTCGTAAATAAGCAAACAACGCGCTCGGAGTGACCCACGCCAGCGCCCCCCTAGGTAATCCCATCTCTCCCAGAGAGCGGTATAGCCCACTTCGAGAACCACTGATTTATAATCCTTTTTCTTCCCGGTATATAAACTCGTTGGTGTCTCCGCCTTATCGTGGTGAGGGGGTTTGAGTATGCTAAGGACCCTGAGAGCTATACCAGCGGTAGCGTAGCTACTGGCAGGGCCTCCCTTGCTGGACAGGTCAAAGGGTAGGCATCAGACGAAAAGAGACACCAAAAACTGATGCCGGAAGCAGCGTCATCAGCAGCGACTTGAAGCACAGAGCAAATGATGCTCGAGATGGTTCAAGTTCGTATAGCAACAGGCGTGACCAGAGTGGTTTGAACGGCTGCTGTACTGCGATGTGGAAAGCAAATGGAAAAACTACCACATTATCACTTTTCCTGGATAGTCTCTTTCCAAAAACAGAAGATCGCATTAAGTGGAGGAACTGTTTTGGAAGAGATTGTGGACCTGTCGTCTGACAGATTACTGATGAATGAATGAATGAATATAAACTAGAAGTAAGAGGTTATCTAGTGAGGACAAATTTAAACAGAAGTTGGTGTCTCGCGTCCCTTTCTAGTCGCATTTAAGGAGACATTTGTTCCGCTCAGGGACGTTCACACAAAGCTATTTAAGTTTTCCCCGAGCTTCATCATTGATTCAGCAAGTTGCGAACACGGCGGTGTCGACTGGAGCGCCACGAGGTAACAGCGGCAGCTGGGACCAACTCCCTCAGCAGTAAGACGTCATCAGGGTCACCAGTGCCATCGTCAGAATCGTCATGTTCATAATCAACACAACACTCTCAGAACTGTACTCGGAAGTGCCAGGTTCGAATCTCGTGCCGAGACACAGGACATCCTCACCGTATCTTTCCTCAGTCGCTCCACGGATATGCCGGGATGGTACCTCCTTTAGGACCGGCCGCTTCCTTACAAATCCCCTCCAGTTCCTCATCATTCATCTACAAGCCCACCATCAGACGGCACACAGTGTCGAGTCTGAAAGCGTCGTTAAATAACCAACACCATCATCACTCACCATAATCATCATCATCAACAACAACAACAATAATAAAAGAAACTGAAAAAAAAGTAAAGCTATCCCTGTAACAGGCCGTGGAGGCCCATAGGGTTGCGAGACGTCGAGGCTCCCATATTTTCTAGACAATCGGCTCACAGATGTTGAGGTTGTCAGCCTTACGCTCCGGCCGGCCGCTCTTTACACCCCAAGAAGATTCCTGGCACTCATTTCTGTTAGAGGCTGAGTCGATCCCAGGACCACAGTGCGGCTGGAAGGATTAGTTCAATGATGAAATTCTATGACCAAATTGGAATCGAGTCCGCGATATTCCGTTTTGTAGTATAGTGCCTCAACCAACTACGCTACCGCGTTCCCCTGTCATAATAAGAGTACCGTATTTACGCATGTATAGGCCGCACATTTTTTGCCAAAAATTCAAGAGGAAAACTGGGGTGCGGCTTATATTCGAAATATTCGAAATCACACTTCATTTAAAAAAAATATATTCATAATTAGTAATACAGGGTGTAATACTCCTGAAATAATATTCCAAGAAAATAATTTTTTCTATAATTTGTCTGAAAATTGTGCTGCGGCCTATACATGCGTAAATACGGTAATAATAATACTGAAATAATCATAACCATCAGTCCAGCAGAGGACTTGGGCCACTTGCTGGCACGTTTGGACCTAATTCGTCCAAAACTTCGAAATACAAAACCAGTGGGATCTAACTTGTCAGCAGACAGCAAAACCGGACTAATGGAATAAGGTCACTATGTTGGACACTGCCCATTGTCTACGGCATATTTAAACTAAGCGACGTTTCGGAAGCTCGAGCTGCTCCCATCATGAGATGTGACTGTGCGACTGCGTCTTGCTGATCACGGAAATGTGAGCATGAGGGTCGCAATGTGCAAGAACAAAAGTCGTCCGACTCACACCGAATTCCGAATTAGTGAGGTTTCGCTGTATACGTATGCTCACGGAAATATCCAACTTAACAAGTTTATAATAGAAGACAGATCAGACTTCAGAAACCACGTGGATCAAGGAACCAGGGAACAACTCTGTAAAAGCAACCCGACGGACGAGGTCGAAGACGATGCTAATAAATGTGATCACCATGACTGCGGTAATTATGAGTTGACTGTGACTATAAACAAAAAAAAAAAAAAAAAAAAAAAAAAAACAAAAAAAAACTCCGTGACCTGTAGTCCGCAAGCGAACTATACTGATTGAGCGACCGCCGCTTGTCGGCGAAGTTAGTGCCAACTTTAACGGATAGAGGATGTCGCGTGGTCAGTGAAGCTAATCCCCACGGCCGTTAATTTCGGTTTTCTAGACCGGAGCCGCTAATCCCTTGAAGTAGCTCCTCAATTATCCTCACGAGGCTGAGTGGACCCCGTTCCAGACCCACTATTTTCTCAGAAAATCTGGTAGCGCAGGGAATCGAACCCGGGACATCTGGATCTGTCGCCAGGAACTCTGGCCACTTGACCACAGAGGCGGTCTGACTGACTATGACTGACCGTAATGAAGAATGCTTGCCGGCGATGATTAGAAACACTTTTTTTCTTTCAAAATGGACAAAACGTAGGCTGAAAAGAACTTTCAAAAGAAAAATTACACAAAAAGAAATATAAAGCAGTCACAGCGCAGCGTCAGTTGACAGCAAAACATTTCCTGACATCAGCCTCTTTGACATTTCTGTTTCTGACAGTTTCAACAAAAGCTAGAAATATTAAGACACGGTGCGTAAACTTTCACTTCCCAAGCCTCGTGACTCGTGCAGCACCGTGAACCTGCAACTCACCGGGCCGATTTAATAACGTCGAATCTGATACAGTTGCACTTGATGTTTCGTGACCGCATCTGTCCCTCTCTCGTGGAGCGCGGTGTATAATTCAGAGAGTTGCGTCACACTGTCCGGCTTGTTCGATATGCAAACGTCACGGAGCAATCCGCGGCAACGTAGCACTTCTTGTGATTCATATGACGAAGCTGTCAGTAACTACAACACCGCATTACTTCGAATATAAAACGCAAAAAGTTTTTGAATGTGGGTTTTAGGGGGGAAACATCAGGAATATGCATATTACTCGAATTTAAGACGCACGTCAATTATTCAAAGGAGAACAAAAATGCGTAATGCGGTATATACCGTCCAATGGTACAATGGTGGTTCCAAGATGAATTGGAAGGGATTTGGGAGGACGCTGTCCTGGCCCCATCGTGGCACCATCCCCTAATTTGCCCGGAGGGACTGAGGAAAACCAAGAAAACCCTTGGTCAAGACAACCGGTGTTCCGGCCGAGGTTCGAAGAAAGTCCATCCCGAATAAGAGTCCCGAGCGTTACCTCCGCTGCCGATATTTGGACAAAGTCGGAGGTAGTTACAAAGTTAGGGACTTATATCAGATATTGTCAGGATGATGATATCAAGTTTGGTAGGGCATGTAGCACGCATGATAATAAATGCACACAAAATCTCGGTCCAGAAACCTTGAAGGGAGGAAACCATTTAGTAAATAATATTAAAAAGGATCTCAACGTAATAACACCATGTTATGTGGGTGCCTTGTCACCACGGCATGGCGCGTCCTCAGGTTGCGGGTGGAGGAGACGGCCTCCATATATGGAGGGTAGCTGAGAATATATTGAATAATCAGTCCCTGGCAGCCGACAACGGATGGTCCTCCACCTCGGGGGGTTGGGCGTGGGTCTAACAACTCANAAAAAAAAAAAAAAAAGAACAAGTGGAGGGCTCTTGTGAACACGGTAACGAACATTCGGGTTCCATAAAATACTTGGAAGTTCTTGAATAGCTGCGCAATGGGCGGCTTCTCAAGAAGGGCTCAGCTCCATGGAGTTAGTTAGATCTGGTTCATGGTAAGGTCCGGTGGTGGCGTGTCTCATTATATGCCTGGGGGTGTAACTGGGCCACCCTTTTCCTGGGGGATGCATATACGAGGACCTGGCCCTCAACGTTGGGGGAGTCTAAAATCTGAGATAGTAAAATATGGTCATGAGTCCCGCGGGACTCGGACCCCAGAATGGATGTGCTGGCGAGGACCAGCATCAATTGTAAACGACATACCCGTCCTCTAGTCAGAGAAGGAGCCCTACACCAACAAACACGCAACTGTCTGACAGTAATAAAAATCCAGTCTTATGCCCCTGAGAGGGGCTTGACACCAAGATAGAGTGGCGACTGACCGTCGGTAGGAACATAACTTTTGAGTTTATGAGGACAAGCAGGGATTTCCACCCCTATCTCTCCGACATTAAGGGTGACACGCCACGCCACCATTTTCTTTCCTCGCTTTTGTCTCTCTGGTTCAAACTTCGAAGGGATAAAGAAAATCACCCTTAATGGCTGATGAACTGGGGGCAGTGGAGCGTTATTCTGGAAAACTTCAACTCACAGCACAGGCATACGTGAAGGATAAATGGATGTGTTCATATCCTTTGATGATCAAGCTTTTGTTAAACGCTGCTTCGAAGAAACTCAGAAAATTGTTTTCATTTCCTTAATGGATCCATTTTACATTACACTTCTTGCGTGATATAATCCTCAAATACGTCGACAACGTGACGTGAGGAGAGGCCACATTCTGCTCATTACGTCACGAAGCTTTTGTTTCAGTTTGTAATACGCAAATCTGAGGACCAGCTCAACAAATCAGAAAACGAAAGCAAAGGGTAACAGCGCGACTGCTTAATTATGATGAAAACCACTGACCAAAGGAGGGAAAAATATGGGGACATAAAAACGTGGATTTAATTTGCGTCTACAACTTCAATTCGACATCAACTTTCTCTAGTCACTCCTGAGATGCATGCAGAAATGTATGTAGCTCTATGCAAAGTATTTGTTATTGTTGTCCGATTTTAACTAAACTTCGCATGTGTCAACAACATTTAGTGAAACTTCAGGTATCAGATATTAAAACCCGTTTTCGAACCGTTACAGGGCGAAACTAAGAAACGTATCTATTTAGCCTACTTTCCTGAAGTAGGCTTATGTAATCTCCATGCTGTCTGTCTGTGTATCCCCCCTCATGAGCTTCTGAATGCCTTATGAAACTTGGAATGTATATCATGGCACCTGAACCCATATAAACGGCGTATTCATAAATCCGTTCCATCAGTCTGTGTGTCTATATGCGTATCTTTCTTATCGCTGCTAGGCAACGGCTCGGTTAAGTGTATCCCTTTTATCGTTGCTAAGAAATTCTTAGCAAGAACATTGCCACGGCAACGAATACACGGAGCAGTAGAATAAATGTTGGACGCATAGTTTTCTATGTGGTCGGTGTCGCACTAAAGGAAATTAGGCGATTCGTGTTTCCCAGAACTTCTTGAAAAATTTTTCGATCCGAAAGCAAAAAAGGGACTGGTTTCTGTATTTCGATAATATGGAAAGGACATACTGAGCCCATCTTGTGAAGCTAATAGTTGCTCAGCTGCTCAATAAATTACCAGTACTTTACGATGCCAGAAGGTTTTTGAGGGCTGACAGGACCCTATCCTCAGCCAGATGAATCCAGTCCACTCTTCAAGTGTACTTTAACTGTTAGGTCCATCAATTGCTTAGGTCGTTTTGGCCGTATTCAGGCCGTCAGACGCCGGCTTCGCACTGCGGAGACAGAGGTTCGATCTGACGTCAGGTCAAGTGGGATTTGTGGTCAACAAAGTGGCACTGGGGCACGTTTCCTCAGAGTACTTCGGTTTCCCCTGCCAGTTTTCATTCCACCGACTGCTCCAGTCATCATCATCCGGGACTGGTAAAATAGCCGAAACAGTGGGCGACGTATCAAGTGGACTCAGTTGCACCCCAAGCCACGAAAACAAGCACATAACTAGGTCGTTTTAGTGCGAGAAGCCTGCCTACAGAAATTGCGTTCTGAAGATCACAAAAATGACCTCTACTGAGCCCAATACACCAGACACGTTAAACGTAATTACCAAAAGCA